AGTTTCATCCGAGTGGAATGAGTCAGACTGCGGTGGACTGGGTCCAAAAAAGGAGCTTATTCAGCAGGAGGGATAAGTGCTATCGAGTTCGATTTTTTTCAAATGGTCAATAGACTAAAGCATCTAATTGAGTGCTTATTTACGCCTGAAATCCGAGAGTGAAAGGTCAAGCGGCCTCTATACATGGTTTTATGCAAATTAAAACGATCACCTTTCTCTCTCTTACTTTTTTCGATGTTAGTTTGGTGCTGTTAAGCTGGACAAACTGCAAATAAATCCATTTTATGCAATAAATGCAATAAATCCTTTTATAGAACTATTTTAATTAACTCTTTAACTCTTTGGCTGTCGATTGTATACAATTTTAAACACCGCATCTTTTTTTTCAGCACACATTATCGATTGTTATATTTTTAGTCATTTGCTTCGAGCACTATTTTAAGTCCATTTCCATGCAAATTGTTCGCACTTGATATTTGGTTATTCGAGCATTTTTATGCGTTCATGAGTCACCTAATGCTGATATATGCTTAATATCGTTCCGTTATGCGCAGTAACATAAAGTTTGTTGAATGGTGCATGAGTTTCCACATAAGTTTGCTTGTTTTTGTTTTTTATTTATTTTATAAATCCTATTTACAAAGATTTCCGTTACTTGAATTATTTTCAATGACTTCGGATGTGGCCTTGCACACAAAAATATGTTACACCAAAATATGTTTTTATAGGTAATTTTGTGTTTTATATGGTCACAAGTTTCAATTTTAAATTTCAATTGAAGAACTATAATTTAACCAATTAATTGCACTATTCTGATTGTGCTTGAAAGGACTATCCTTGAGATTCCCTTGTTATTTGTGATATTAATTCTCCATTAAATTGACATACAAAGCTCACACAACACTGCCTTAATCCAATTCACGTACAAAGAGTCCACTTATTCGGACGCATCACGCAGACACATTTTGCATCCGCATCCAGAGGATATTGCTATTTGTCCCGATCGAATTCTGGTACTAACAAACGAAAGTTAACCGCCGATTGGTAAGACCTTTGCGCAGAAGAGGAAAAGCGCGACAGAGGACGAAACGCGACGGTGACGGTGCGTTCCACATGACGTATTCAAAATGACTGAGACCAGACCGAGACTGGACTGCAAATTTTCGCAAAAGTGAAAAATTCTACTTTCAATATGAAAACGAACTGCGCTGTCGCCGTCGACGCCGACTGCGCTGCCCGGGCGGGAGTTGTGCAGCGGCAGCGCACTGTGGGTGTGGGTAAGGTAGGTCGTGGTATGGGAATGCACAGTGGCTACAGAGAGAGAGAAAAGGGAGAGCACCATCACTGAGAGTGATAGGGAGAAAGAGCAGAGCGGAAGGCCGACAGAGCCACAGCCAGAACCTGCAGCGAATGCAGAGAACAAAGCGGAGCAGAGAAGTCAATGTACAAAGCAGATTGGGGGTGCAATGGACGCCGAACATGGAACTCAGGCGCGGACATGCACGTCGCCACAGTGGGTGCCCGCTAGGTGGGAATCAAAAATGTGCCAATTTTTAATTTTTTCATTTTTTAAAAATCGAAAATTTAAGCAACAATATGCGTAACAATTTCAAATATGTCACAATTTTAATTATGAATTTTATAATTTTCTATGCAAACGCGAAAGCCTGAGATCCCTATGACCATAACTGGGATATCGTTGTAGGATTTATCCGAAAATTAATAACATTTTGGGAAAGAGCATTCTTCTTTCAAAGATTTCAAAGAAATTGTTAGATCCATATTATATGTATAATGCAAATATTAGAAAGCTGTGCTCAGAAGGTATGCGGCTCATACCATAAGAAATACAAATATTAGTTACCTTCAACATAGGAAAATATAAATACCAATACTGAGCAAATCTCAAGCATTCGTGATCTCAACAGTGCAACATTTCAAGATGCCCTGTACCGGTCCTTCGAAGCTTATAGCCATGTTTCTGACGCGAACTGTATACGAGTATATCGTTGTTCCCGGCTGGAGTGGCTTGCCCCTTTTGCGTGCTTCTTTTGGGGTTGCAAAGTTTTGGCATTCCGGGAGTTGTCGTAGCACAGAAATTAAAAATAATTGCAAAAAGTCGGCGAGTGGGTGGATTTCTCCGGTTTTCTGATCCTGCTTCTCGGTCCCTGCCTGTCTGTCTGTCTGGAGTTGCAACCCCTCGGGCAACGAAATGAAAGCAAACTTTAGACTCTTGGACTTGGGGTGTGGAAAGCGAGTGGGAATCAAAGGACCGTGAGGCGGAAAATGGCGAGAAAGGAGTACGAGGACAGGCGGTTTCCTAGACACTCGATGGGCTACTTCTTGTTTGGTAAGGTCGGTCCCAGGCAGAGATACTTCCTCCATTTGCTTCGATTTTAGCCAGTTTTGGGGGTTGCACTCTAATGGAGCTGGCTTCCATTGTCTTTCACGCTGCGAGGTAGGTTTTAAGCAGCAGCAAGTAACCTTGATTTTCTTGTTTGCCATTGTTGTTGACGAGATGGGATTAACTTTGTGGAACTTATCTGTTTCGGACAGCATTTCAAGAAAACTTCTCCGTCATAGACTATTATACTACTAGTATAGTTTTCTATTGAAACTCAATACTTAACAAGTAATAATTACCTCCCTAATTCCCCTGCAGACCCTCGCAAGTTAGGATTCCATCTTCTGGGGCATTTTGGAACCGAATCTGTCCCCTGGAGGACCTCCAAATGCAACGAGGGCGTTGCATTGAGACACTGGCCCTGGCAGCCGTAATATAATAGTGGCCAAATATCATGGTCAATGACAGCGTCGTGAAATTTGCAACTGGCATGGCGACACGTGGCAGGGGCAACCAGACGCCACCCTTGGTCCTTTTAAGCGGACGGCCCCGGCAACCCTGGCAGCCCAAACTGAATCCAGCTAAATAGCTCTCTCTGCATAGAGCGGATGTGCAAAAGCGCATGTTTGGGAGCTGCAACGATGCACTTGCCACGCGGCTGCACGAAGGTTAAAAGAGTTTTCAGGGGCACTACGAGACTTACTACTGCTCCGCCGGGCGAGGACCAAGGACCAAGGGCAAGGACACGCAGGCATGCGCATTTCCGCATCCGCAGTCGGGTCCTTGGCGCTGGTTCGGTTTCGTACTCGGATCCTTGGACAGAAGTGCCTCATTGCCAAGGTCCCAAGCGTGGGGGAAGCAGTGATGCCCACTAAAGGCTGCTAAAAGTTCCTGTATTAGCTTACGATGAATATCTACTAAGCTGTGGAGCGAAATTACATTAATCCCAGCACTTGCGTAGAAAAAACCAATTGACTTAGTTTAATATTTTTGAAATTTTGTGTTATGATTTAGGTATTATTCATTAAAAATTGTATTTATATATTTTTTATGGATTTTACTGTACAGTTCAATGATGCAGACGCCAAACTCCTGCAAATGACACTGACTAGGTGGCAGACACGGGCGGAAAAAAGTATAGAGGGTATGAGGGAGGGCAGATTAATTTCAGGGCTGCACACTGCAGTTCCCTTGCATTTCCATGACAAATCGTTAGCTGAATGCAACCGATGCAGCGCAAGGATATGTGGCACACACGTGTCACCCACACTCACGCGGTCGCTGAAATTCGACATTGCACCGATGGTCATTAAAAGGTCAGCACACACAAGTCCTTGTCCAGATCCGCACTGGGATGTGCACATATTTGACACGTTTTAATGCCTCCACCATAAATTGACAAAAATACGTAAGTTGAACTTATATTATAATATTACTTATAATAATAACTCACGATAATTTGTTTCAAAAATATACTTAATAAATATACTAAATAAAATTATATATACTTTTGAGTAATAATTATTGGGTCTAAGACGTATGAGGTTCAAATATAAAATGTTTTTTCATACCATATAATTTTTGCTAAAGCAAAGCCTTTCTGTGCTCAAAAATAGTAGGCAAATAAAGATAGACAATGGTTTCTTTTCCAATTAGTTCCAATTAGTAAAACTGTTGACCAGAGCAAATAAAACGAGTCCGAATTTGCATAGCCCCAAACTAAACAAAGCTCAATATCGGGCCTAAGCCAATTTTGGGTCAATGTGCGTGCATTGAACTGATTCGGCCAGGGAGCCAAGTCAAAGCGCAAAGTGGCCAAAAGTGTGCTATAAGTCACTCGCCTCCAGAGGGGTCATTGAGACTAATTTTCCTGGGGACCTGCAGAGCAGGAGACAAGGCGCTCTGGAGGGTGTATTTCTCCTTATTTATGGCCGAGGAGCAGCCGTCGGGTCGGCGACTCGGTGGCCATATTTGGGTTTAGCCAAAGTTTATTCCCTTGTCTGCCTCACAGCTCCTCCTGTTGCTGCACATATAAGAAATCTCGCCACCAGCTCCACAAATATCATTGTTACAATAATGTTTTAAGGCTGAACAATCTAAGGATTGTTGCTTCCCAATTCTACGATTCATTGTAACTGAAAAGCTGTACAAATATAATTTATAATTAATTGAAGTAAATATTCAAAGATTACTTTATTATGCTTTAGATTTGGATTTATATTATGTTTGGCACATAACGCTTTTATTGCTGCTTATCCTGCTGTACTTTTTGGTGAATCATTGTCCCAAAGGCTCCCACTTTGGGCTCCTGCCGCCCAACCACCTGATGAGTAAGCCACGGAATTTGCGGCCAATGTTGTTGAACCTGCTCGGGACCTCGTCCATTGCACCTGACACGCACTCCTGGATGGAAAGGACAGTCCTGAAATGGATGGCTATGGTGCGCAAGTTCAAAGTTCGTGTGGGCTGGATTTGCTGGGGCATTAGTCATGTTGCTTAAATTGTTCCATGGGCAGACATTTGTAATCAGGGCTTTACCTTTTGGCCTATATTTGGTGTTATCTCTTTGGTTTAATGAGTGTTTGCCATTTTTGAAATGATCAACGAATACCCCCATAAATATATTTATCCTAAATAAAAAAGGCAACATCCATAAAGAGCTTCTCGAGAAATAAATATATATTTTTTTAATATCCCAACATTAGCTTTAGCTCAGTGTTGATAATTTTGACAGACTTATTAACAACATATGGCCACGGAAACCGAAGTTCAGTAGAAAAAATCATACAGATAATCTAGAGCTATCAAATCGGGACTAGAGGTGCGTGGAATCTAAAAAAAATAAAATAGTAGTGCGAATTATTCCTATTTATATCCACTTACTAATCGGCGAATCCATTTCAACTTGGCACGAGAATAAATAATAAGTTTAAAAGGTTCCTCTTGCTTGACGCCGTTCTCCTTAAGAGTTTCAACAATGGACGACACAAAGTCTTGGTAAATTTTAATATCCTTCATTGGTGTATAAAATTTACGTAACTTTGGGCATGATCGAAGTACTTGGAGAAAGTTGTCTCCATCGAAGGGAGGCGGACTGCAATTTTCATTCATCTTTTCAATATTCACGCCGTTCTGCAGAATAAACCCAAACAGAAGGCCTTCAATGTGGCAGTTGCAGTTTATCATGTCTAAAGTTTTTAGCTTCGGACACTCGGGCAATTCCGTGAAAATTTCGCAGTTGTTAAGTTTAAGAACCTCCAGCTCCGGCCAAATCATCGAATGCGGCTGCTCTGAGGGCATTATAGTTATGTTGGTTACTGTCAAGAAGCGGAGACTCGTCAGTGGTGCACAAATCTCGAGAACATTTAAAGGGGAGTAGGTATTGAAGTGCTTATTATATTCGATCTCAAAATCCTCCAAAGCTAATAAGTTCTGTACCTGGTAAACTAAATAAAACGCGAACGCATGGGTTATTTAATAAATACATATGGTCTAAATGGGTAGTTGAGCTTATTAAGGAAAGGTATTGAAAACTTTAATTATATGTTTATATTTAAGTTTGGCTATCACTTACCATCTTCAGTAATATTTCCTCTGCATTTTAATTTCGTCATATGAGTCATTTCTGTGATCGAATCAAAAATCTTTTTTGGGTTGCTTGTGAGTAAATTCAGTTCAGCTGATACCAATAGTTTACTCATTTTCTTCAGGAAGGACTGCACGCTGTCACAATTGTCATCGTCAACATCAATTCTCACCGACTTCAAATTGGGACAATGCTGCACAACCGACTTAGCCACGATATCACTCCATGGCCCGTTCCACATTCTTCGGCATGTAAACTCCTCAATAGTCGATCCACATAGACGCACAAGAACCACCAACATTTCGGGAGTTAGGCGGTAGTAGGGGCTGAGCTTCTTGTAGGCACTGCGACTGTGGTAGCCAAACGCTGCTCCCAGCTTTTCATCAACCTGCGCCAGCTGCACTTTATCGACAATGCTCTCTAGCTCCTCGAATATCAGATCGAGGACGTCGAACGGCAAATCGGACAGAGTCCGCTGGTTTTCCATCGCAAAGCTTTTCGCCCGAGAGCGAAATGCGAACTGAAAACTGCAGCGAGAGCAGCGGCTTGCTGAAATCCAATTGAGAGGGAGAAAGAAAAGCTGAGCGGGAGAAACTGAGTACGCACTCGTCTCTCCATCTCCAGCTCTCCATTTAGTGTCGTTGCAATCAATGACTATTCCTCGAATATTTATATATATTAAATATTTAATTTAATTTGAATAAGTTATTATCTTTAACAAGTGATGTTACCTAGTGACTACAGATAGCAATTATTATTACTTAGTTCTAGTTTGTTTGATTAAAAAAGCTACAAGAAACTGTTTCCTCGGTTTCACATATTTTAAATCATTCTATAAGGTTAATATAGAACAAGTTTTCCTTTAGGTTTTCCAATATACAATTTGCCACTCTCTAAAACTTATACAGGTAAAGTGTATGAATCACTTCAGGATTTGAAGTGCGTTGTAACTGAAAGACAAAAATGAAGAACGAAAACTGTATGTAAACTAAAAATATGGCAGATTCCACTCACAAATCGTCGAAACCATCTAAGCTTATCTCGGCAGTACAATATCAGTTCGAAGGGTTCTTTTCGCGTTGATGCCGTCTCCTTGAGAAAATCCACCAAGGAGGTGACGAAAGCTTGGTAGATTTTGATGCCACCCATTTGAGTGGATAATACTTGCAGCTTTGGACAGCTTCGAATAACTTCAAGGAAACTATGTTCATCGAATGGTGCCGGTTCACAGCTTTCATCGATCTCCTCGATATTCTTGCCGTTCTTCAGAATAAAACTGCAGACGTATCCTCTGATTCTACATTTGCAGAATTTGATATATATGGCCTTCAGCTTCGGACAATCGGGCATCACTGTGGAGATTTCACAATTCTGCATTTTTAAGTCTTTTAGGTTTGGCCAAATCATGGGATGGAAACTTTCTGGCTGAGATATACATATATTGCTCACAGTCAAACACCGGAGATTCGTCATATTTCCGCAAATTTGAAGAAGATTAACTGCTCTACATCTGTATCCTCTGCCTTGATAGACGAGTTGCAGCTCCTCCAGATCAACCAGCTTGCTCAGCTGATTAACTAAAAAAATAAGTAAAGAAATGAAGTGAATAAGTCCCATTTAAGATTATTAAAATTAAGGAAATAAATGTATATATTTTATTTCAAGTCGAAATTAAGTCAAGTTCGATATTTAATACCCCCAACGAGGGAGGTTTCCTTGCATATGTACTTAGTAAAGCGACTTTCCCTACCATTTCTCTATATGGTTTTTAAATTTTGAAGTTTAAGCTAAAATACAGAATGACGAGCGTGGATAGTTTCGACGTGACTTGCAATCAGGCTTGATCAGAAATGTATGTACTAATATATATAAGGTCCGAAAAGCACGAAAACAGCATAACATCATTACCTACAACGTAAAATAATAAAGGCGGGAGTCAAAACAAAAAAGACAGAAATCTGATAATCGTTTGTAGCTGAAACGGAAAAAAATGTACCGTTTGATATCGATCGAGCTTGAATATAAACAACCGCTTATCGTATTCTCTTTTCGTCTATACTCTTTAAACCCATTAACATGAGCAATGAGATTACACTATTACAATTTCGATTTGTTTTCTTAAATGACTTACCTCCTCGATCAATGTATCCTTCATACAAGAATTTTTTCAATTGTTTCAGCTCCGCCACGGCATTAAGGATCCTCGGCGATTGGCAACTGTCGTTAAGCTTCAGTTCAACCGATATTAAAGAATTTGTCATGTTCAGCAGGAAAAATTGAAGGCTGTGACTATTTCGCAATGTGGCACTAATGTTCACCGATTCCAGGTTGGGACAGTACTTCGCAATCGATTTGGCCAACAGATCGCTCCAGGTGTCCGATCCACAGGTAAATTCCACAATTGACGTGCCACAGTTTGCCAACAGCACACGATAGAGCCGGACCGGAAAATGTATTTTTGGAGAGAACTTCTTGTAATCACTGCGGCTGTGGTATGAAAACGCTTTTCCCAGATAGTCATCAAGCTGCGCCAGTCGAAGTTTGTCCCTGAGATTTCGTAAGTTACTAAATATTATATCGAGCACTTCGAGTGGCAAATCAATTATAGTCCGTGGATTTCTCATTGCAGGTACCCATGCCCCCGCGAGCGAAGACCATGCGAAAGACTGAGGCGAAAGTGATGGGGATGGCAATTCTACCGACCTCCAATTGAGAGAGGAAAAGGGAAAGGGAAAGGAGAGGGAACTAAGGAACTAACTGTTTATTGGAACAAACTGTGCAAAATTTGGAAGGTGGTTTAAGTCAACTATGAGTATTTATTTCCACTCTTTTAATAAATAGATTATAAATAATAATTATAATAATAAATAAACAAATTTCTTATACATTATCATTTCCGTAAAATTAAAAAATATTTAAAAAACTGAAGAATAAATATCGAATAGTTTATTTCTGGCATTTTTATTATGATATGATGATATTTATTACTTTAATTGACCTAATTAAAAACTTTCCGAAATATTTAGGCATCAAGGCTGTTAAAAAGCGAAATCAGAAAATCTTATCAATGAAAGAATTCATATTTTAAAATTACAAATGGAATTGGAAACTATAGCCGTTGTTGTAACTTCGATTGTAATGAACATTCAAACATATTCAAAAAAGTACTAAATATCTTTGAATATACTAGATATCTACTGGCTAGATATCTTCACTTTGTTGTTATTTTATTATAAGAGTAGTAGCTATTAGTAGTGTTGTTGTACGTACTGAACTAATATTACAAAATGTATTGATTTTTATTTTTTATTTGGAAGTATTGTATGTTTACCATGTATGATACAAATCAATCAACTCATTATCCGGAGTGCAACGGAGCTGCAAGTATATTAACATTGGGTTATACCCTATAACTTATTGCTTTCTTGCACTTACTAGTCGTCGAAACCACTTCCACTTTATGCGCCTACTAACAATTAGTTCTAATGGGTTCTCCGGCGTTACTCCATTTTCCTTTAGAATCTCCACCATAGAAGACAGATAGCCCGAGTAGAGTTTTATATATTCCATTGGACTACACAGAAGTCGAAGTTTTGGGCAGCTGCGAAGCATGTCTAGAAAACTATTGGCATCGATCGGCGGATAGCTGTCTTCATAAAGCTCTGTGAGATTTTTTCCATTCCTAAGAATAAATTTCAATGCATAGCCTACGATGTCACAGGTGGGGTTTTCAATATTCAAATATTCGATATTTGGGCAGTCTGGCAACTCGGAGAATGTGCAATGCTGCACGTGCAGGTATTTCAAGGAGGACCAAAGTGTTGAATAAGGCCCATCATAAGGCAACATTTTTATCCTAATTAAGGTTAAATTACGCAGATTCTTCAGTGATGCACAAATTCGAAGAACGTCCACATGATATGGCTTGACATATTTCAGATCTTCGATGCTCAACTTCTCCAGGGCAATCAATTTATCCAAGTGGTTCACTGTGAACATGCCCCAAATAAAAATTTTAACATTAATTTATTAAAAATGCTCACCATTTTCGTCCACAAATCCCTTAAAGAAAAATTCCTTGAGTTGTGTCATTTCACTCACCACTAAAAGCATGGTAGACGGATTGGAAAATTCTTGGCTTATTTCAATCGATGTCAGAGAGTTTTTCATACTTTCTAGGAAAGAAGGCACGCTTTTCCGATGAAGTGAATGGAATACTATGCGTACCGATTTTAAATTGGGACAATGTTTTGCAACCGTCGGGAGTACAAGACTGCTCCCTGCTCTACCACATCTCCCGTAGATAAATTCTTCAATCGTGGGGCCACATTCCCGTATAACAAAGTCCCACAAATCTAGAGATAACTGTGTGTCGAGCAAAAGACACCTAAATTTGTTGCGGCAGTGAAAGGCGAAAGCTTTTGCAAGCTTTTCGTGCGCCTGTGCTAAGGAAACTTTGTATCTTAAATAATCAAGGTTTTCGAATATCAGATTGAGAATTTCAAATGGCATATCGGTTATTCCCCGTTTAAAATCCATTGCGAGCTTCTGCCTCTAGAGCGAATCGCGAACTGAAAACTGTGCCAACACTCACTGAACTGTATATGTAGAGGAGAGAGAGAAAAAGAGAAACCGTGAAAACTTTGCAGTCTCATCACGTGCAATTTAACAATCTGTCCTAAAAGGATTGTTTTTTTTTTATAATGATACAATTACCTTAATTTTTTTTTGTAAGAGCTAATGACTTGTATTATATACGGATATATATTTATTCAATACATTTTTCCGCTTTTCTTCACTGCACTTTGACTTGGAGAGTGCACTGCGAGCTGATGCAAGAAAAGCTTTTTTCTCGAAAGACGGCGCTTTTAAATATGAGAGTAAATCAGCAAGAGAGTGTCCCACTCTTGGTTCACTGCCCCATTATACAGCTCAAATGGCAGTATTGCTTTAAAAACAAACAAAACTACTCACTGGCATCATACTTATAATAGATTTGTAACTGGGGTATATAAATTAATCCGCAATTATGTTTAATTACGATTTATTGTGACTTCTGTACACGTCTTCTTATGCATTTCAGGTCGAAATTTTGAACCGATAACTAACAGAAGAGTTACTTGTATCCTTTAAAGTAAGTAGCTCCTAATAGTGGCATGTCTGTAATTGAGGTAAGTTTGATAGAACAATATGATCTCTGCACTTCAACTCGCATTCAAAGACAAGTCCCACAGCGATTGCCCATTTACTTGGGCAAAACTTCAAGCTTAATACGATAAAAATTACAGTAATTATTCGGTCGTAATGCACCAACCCTTGGTGACACCCCTGCTTGCAACTGCCTTTGCAGCCAAAACTTTCGCTAGCATGTAATGTGGCAACAGTGAGGCAAGTTCACAAGAGGCGAATAGAAAGGTGCACAAAATAAGTACAACATTTTTAATGAAACTTGTAATAATTGAAATGTTTGGGCATAAAAAAGATCATACGATTCTTTACTTTCTAATAATAAATACACTTTTTTCGCAGTGTAGGGCTTTGGCTGACACTTTTGATGCCAGTTGTGTGATAAGAGGCTACCAGATGAGCCGCTGACGCAATGCAGTGCAGCAAGGAGGTCAACAAACCATTCAATGAATGAGGGAACGGCGTAAAAACTCACGAGAAAAAGGGTTGAAAGCTTTTACTGGGGATAGCAGTTAAGTTTTCGGCTCAGAAATTTAGGGTGCATTTTAAAAAGAATACAAATGTGAAAGCCTCGTTATATGATTAACAAGTTTAACATACAAGATTAATTTTACAAAAGTAAAATAAATAAATCCTTTATAGTTAAATCTAAGACCTACACATGATTCTTAATAAAAAAAACCCTTTGGTGGACACAATTGCATGAAAATTATAAAATAAAAGTGTATTATTATGAAGGAGAAGGAAAAGATCCTTTGGAAAACACATTACCCGAAGGAATTGTGCATAGAACAAGGAAAGCCACCGTTCTTTATGTTTTTTGACAGTTCTGCCGGCTGTTTCTATTAGAAGACAATTTTTCATTCGACAACGAAGGCAACCGAACCACCCACCCACCTTTATTGTTTTAGGAATTGCAGTAAGTAATAGGGGTTGCAACATGCATATTTGCCACTAGCAACTGTGACTCACCTCACCTACTTTCGACTGCGGAAGTGGAGTGGAGTGGAAGTGCGGGAAGTTGCACAATGGGCTGGCTGAAGTGTCTTTTGCCACTTGCAACTTTCTCCATTTCTCCGGTATTAGCGCACACTCTCCCTCCAGAACTTTCCCTGTGCCGAAGTCGGGATGTAGAAAACCCGCCGAACAGGTTCTTAGATAATCTGTCTAACAACTATTGCGCGCCCAGGTGAATGCAACTAGTTTTTCCAGCACTGGGGGAAAACTCGCAATGGCAATGACCCAACGGAGTTAGCCTTGAATCTGCGGCAAGTGGAAAACCAGTTAATGGCTTAGGAGGACCAACTGCAAGTTTTCCACCAGCTAAAATATATTTCGCAATGCCCTTATGCAATTGAATCCAATATGTCCAGCAATATCGCCAGCATTCAATAATGCAACTCCGTTTTCAAAGCTCGTAGGTAAGTATTAAAATTTCTCAAGCTTGCTTTCGACGATATTAACCATGCCCTTGGTCAATTCCAAAGCAGTTGATGCAATAAAACTATGCAATATTTGGTTAACATCTTTATGGGGCCCTTGTCTCGACGCAATGACGCCAAATGAGCTGTCGTCACCGAAGCACCACCAACTGCTAAAAGCCCCGGGCGCATTGATAAGACTACTTTTACTTTGGTGAGCGGTGAGTGGTGAGCAGCAGAATTTTCTAGTTTTCACTTGTCACACAGAAGAGACGGCAGTGTGAGTTATACTTTTGTTATTTTATTTTTTCGCTGTTTCTGGGTGCGGCACTTTCTAATACCCAAGCTGGGGCGGAACAAGCCGTTCGAATGAGTCAAAAGCGCTAAAAGGACCCAGAAGGAAGAAGGAGCAAGGAGGAAGGAGCGGAGTGCAGCAGGAGCCGAGAGGCGAGACTCCTGGGAAAACCTAGTGGTATGGGTAGGTCAACCACCAGACATTGAACCCAGCACTCTCACACACACACACACACGCACACTTGCGCACACCAACTTCCGTTGAGAGGCAAGCGAGAAACAGAAAGAGCGATGGGCGTGGGGCGATTGGGGGATCGCAGGCGTTGGGAGGCTCGCACGCGAAAAGCGTGCAGCACGTGAATGAAGCACAGTGCTCAAGAGAGAAAGAGAGAGAGAGAGACAGAGAGAGAGAGGGAGAGAGAGAGACAGAGGGAGAGAGGGACGGCGAAATAGCAGGGAACTGTCTGCCGCGGCGGGCGAAAGAGAACACAACATTGTCACCTTGCAGACCGATACTCAAAGTACCCTGAAAATCATTGAAAGGTATAAAAACAAGATGTTTCTTAAGTGTTTATTGGACAGATAGTTTTGCAATCTTTTATATGAGAGTAAATTGTAAATTGTTAAGAAAAATAAAAATTCTAAATTCCCACGCAGAAAGAAAGAGTGACAGCGTCTCTTACTTAATTTACGAGTCCAGAGATAGCCAACATTTCACAATTTGGGGACAGTGTGCTCGATAGATAAAGGGTTTGTGCCATTTACATTTGATAAGCCTAATTTAAAGTAAGGCTTACAGATACCTCAGGTTTTTGAACTAATCATTCAAGCAAAAGCACCTTTTGGAAGAGTGTACAAAGAACTGGGGGAACTGAATAACATCGCCGTTGCCTAGCTTCATCGTCATAGTCATCGTCGCATTTCGCAATTCGCATTGTGCGCTAGTTTAGTGGGTTGAGTGACACAGACACAGTTTGCGGCCAGAGCGAGACGGATGATGGTGCAACAGGGAGGGGAAGAGGGATAAGAGAAGGGGCAACGAACAAGTTTTCAGTTGCGGAGTTGGAGGCACTGTTGCGATTTTGTAATCGCAAGCCAAGTGTCGTTACAGGGCTGCCACACTGTTGATATTCTAGTCCAAATACACCATTTGTTTACAGGGTATAATACACAACAAAAATAAAATCCAGATTTAGAAATAGCACATTGTTGTCGGACTCGAATGGGTGACTTTTTTAAATGTTTATTATTATAAAGCGACGAATCCGTACATGCAGTACTAGTATATGGGTGACTAAAAATGCATAGAGGAGTGTGTTTGATAAGTATGCTACGTTTTTTAATTACACTGCATACAAGGTTTCAATTTAATTATCAATTTATGAAACTAGTTTCTCAAAATACTTATACAAATTAATGTACTTTTTCTTATTGTTTGATAATAATAAATAGATATTCCCCATCTGGCAACTTCCTTACCCATGCCTTATCAAAAAGCTGACGAAAGGGGAGGACTGGCGAAAAGCGTGCACATAGAAAACAAAACAGCCAAGCGAAAAAGAAAAAGAAAAACCCCCCAAACAAGCACTGCAGTTCTCCAGATCCCTTTCTCTCTCCTTTCCCCATTGCCGTCTCTTTCCATCGCTGTCGCACTTTCCAGAACCGAGCTCCCAACTCCCCGTTCGAGTTGTATGTCGGGATGTGGAGTATACCACTAGGATGGATGGATAGCTCGCACAGATACGGGGCTTTTCCTGTCTGTGTGAGCGCGCGCCTCTGTGTGCGTGGGCTTCTGTGCGAGTGTGCGTGTGAGACGAAGCGAATCGAGTCGAGAGTAGAGTAGGACAAAAGGGAGACACAATTTTGGTAGCAATGACCTTCACCGCGTTGTTCAAGTTGTCGTGGTTGTTGTTGCTGCCGCTGCTCCAATGCACACACACTGACACACACACGGATATATGCATATGCGTGCACACACAGACAGGAAAAGCAGATGCAGATAGAGAGAGCGATAGAGAGAGCAAGGCGCAACGAATGATGCATGAGTGCAGATGGTTGCGGATTGTTTTGCTGGTTGGAAAAGGGGGAGGTGGGGGCGGCAGCTTCGTGCTCTAGCCGCTAGGTGACGCGTTCGCTTTTTCTCCCCCCTAAAAGCACATAAAAAAGTAAGTATTATAAAGTAATATATTAATCATTCAGGTTATATATGGATTATTCAAGAGCTAGTATTCATTCATATCATATACAGTATAGTATTCATATAGTATATCATTCCTTGAAACCTCATAGAACTTAAGTTATTCAGCGAAACATATATTTTCTAATACATAATACATTTCCATACATAAAAAAGAAGCAAGCACACGGGTAATGTTAGTTAGTTAGTTTTGGGTTCTTAAACTGACTAGCCTTTTTTGTCAGTGCACCCACCAACCTCACAATCCGAACTGCCGCTTTTCCTGCTCGCTTTCCACTGCACAAATTAAACGTACAAAAGATAAAAGTGCTTTTGTGCTGCCATTGAAAATGGAGTTGTGTGTGGAAAAGGGGCGAGTGGTGGGGTGATGGGCGGTTCGGGAGGTTCGGGGTCTGAGGGCTGAAGGTGGTGAACCTAGCGTAAACTTGACACTGACGTCGAATGCACTCCACCCACC